CGGCTGCTGCTATGATGTTGTCTGGTTTATGAGATTGATGCTGTCCTAATATAGGATCTTCGTTTTAATGAATTCTTAAAAATGTTAAAAAAGAGAGAGAGAGAGAAGGGGAGCCCAGCGAGGATGTTTGCCCTAGGGCTCTTGCTGGCTCTCGACGTTCCTGTATGTACATAAAGTATACATGTATTTGTACTATATACACATAATTATATAATGTGTATATAGTATGTGCTGTCATAATTAAAGGCATCTGTTCTGATAGCATCAATTGCTTGGTAATGCTTGGAAACTACAGTAGCAGTTTGAGTAAGTTTCTATATTAAATAATGAAAGAAAAAAAAGAACAGAAAAAGGGAACACCTAGATATGCAGAGATGCCTTAAAAGCTTTGCCTATCAAGGATACAACCTTAGCTTCAAAATATTGCTTTTATCACTGGTAATATTGTTTCAAATGTTGAGCTTACAAAACAGTTTTGCATAAGTAATCAGATGTAGACCTATATTAGTCTCGGCATACTGCAAGTTGGTGGAAATTAGTACATGTAGAATTTTTTACATGAATTCCAAAGGCATTCTGATATTTTTATCAGGAATATAATTTTGAATTTGTTCAGTTAGAAGTATATGAAACTTGCAAGATACATGTAGTGAACAGTATTGTAAAACGTAAAAATTTATGTTTTGGAATTTGTATATATTTTGCATTATGTTTAAGTAATAAAGACATTGAATAATCACATCAGTTCATAGATGGTATATTTCAGTATATTTGTACATGTATTAAAGATTATCTTAATGACAAAAAAAAAAAAAGGGTAAGACCTGTAAGATTAGAATTTTGTCCATACCACAAACGTTGACAACCATAAAAATACCCAGAGGTTTGCTTTTTTAATATTGTCCATAATTCATTTGTAAAATTGCAAATATTTTACACACTTAAGTATTCACATTCCACATTCAATTATTGTCTGATTCACCCATTGTTGATTGTATTAGCATCCAGAACACCTTCAGGTGTGGAAGCTAGTCTTTTGAGCCTGTGTTCCTTGTGCTGTGTTTACAACATACCACTTATACTCCTGCACCTATGTGATACAGGCTATTTTAGGCAAATTGCTATGACCATCATGCTGAATCCACAAAGAGTACACCTTGTTTGAAACAAAGTGTGACTGCATCTTTATACAGAAGAGACTATTTCTTTTTTTTTTTACAGCCTCTTCTTGGGTAGATGTTGTTATGTGTATGATACCTGTCTGGTTCAGCTGGCATGTACAACCAGTGTCAGTGATGGCAAACATTATTCAAACAACTGTGGAAAGTCTAAAGCTGCACTACCTCTTTCACTCCTTCTTTTTTACCCAACATCAGTTTTTCATGGTAAACCTTTGGACTCCTCAGTGTGTTGGAGTGTATCGGCTTGTTTCACTAATACGAAATTCTGTTGTGTGACAGCAGAAACAGATTCTGTGTTTTGTATGAAAATAATTCCAAAGAGCACTAGGAATTCTCACATAATTCTCTTTAAAAGAAATCTGCTGGTTAGTAAATACTATATCTGATAGCTTTTACTGTTAATGTTACAGATTATTACTTTACCACCAAACCCAACACACTTTTGTGACAATCCTTGAAAATTTCCATTGAAAGATGTTGATTACACTCCTTTTGCAGAAAAAATGGCATATGGGTTTTCACACCAGTGTGAAGGAGATCTATTGCTTCTTTAAATTCTCTACCCTCAACAATAAGATTATGTTACTATAATCAGGTGGGAAAGTTTTAAGCATAATTTTGGAATATGTTATGACTAATTACTGCATCATTATTTTGCCCATCAGCAAGATATAGACCCAGAATCAACATAATGTATCCATCAACGTATATAGTCATTGTGGATTTGACTGTGGCTATTGGTTGTGTCTGCCATATCTTTACTGTAATTTAAAACTAGAATGGCAACATTATTCTTTTATACCAAAATGTTCTGTGCAAAAGGATAGGCATGATTAGATATAAGCTCTTGGCAACCACTTTCACAAAATCTTAGATACAAAAGGGCAAAATTGCAGAATGAGCTGAGTGTATTCAGCATAAGTATTTTCCAAACATCTAAATTGTATATGGAATTGTTTTGGATAAACCAGTATGGAATTTAATGAAGAGAACCTCCAAACATTTTTTCATATATTTTACATGAATATGTCTTAAAGATGGAATCCTGGAAGACAGATCATCAAATTAAGATTTATTCAGTTCACCCAGACTAAAATATTCACTATCAGTTAACTTGTGAAACCTGTTATAGTTTATTTCACCTAGAATGTTCACTGCTTCATGTATTTTCTTCAAAAGATCAATCACATTTACTTTGTTACACTTGCTGTAGTCTTTCATCCTGCCATCTTATTTATGTGACACAAGTGGGCCACAAACTGCTTTCTGTGTAGTTCACTTTTGCATGAACAGGCTCAACCAGGGATGAGTGAATGACAGTATTATGCATAACAAACAAGGCAAGATTAGGTTGTTATTGGGTATTTTTTGGGGGGGGGGTTGCACAATTATCATTACAGCAAATTAATTGTTTAATACTTTTGACACTTTAAAAAGAAAAATATCCAAATCAATCAGCTTTTCGTACGTGTTTTTATAGAGATTAGGGTTTGAATATAGGCAACATGTGATATTTTAAAATGAGATATAAAGCAACTGTGTTCTGTGTAAGGGATATTACTAAGGGCACATGAACTAGGTAGCTGAGGGTGTGCCAATCCCCTGTCTTGACATATGGGGATACTGTACATACATGATTCCCATCATATACAAGGGTTTTTATTTTGTTCAGTTGTTTTCAGCACCCTCACTACAAACTTTTTGTAGCTTTAATGGATATCACTAGTCAGTATTATTTTTTATTTGTTTATACATGTATAACATTCATGCTCATTTATACATTTTGTAGAAATAAATGATCCCCCATTGGAGAAAAGGGGATTTACACATTATAATGAAGAATACCAGACAATCAAGCACAATGACAAAAGTAAAAACAGGGATGAACTACACCTCTAAAGTGTCTGTCATACCTTCTTCTACTGGAACTCATACCACTAGCTGCCCAAATGGAAGTTCAAGATCTGTTGTGGAGAGAAGTGCAACAACAGGCTCATTATTAGGAAACCGTAAAACTTCCTCTACCCAAAAACTCAGCAACAAGACTCTTTCAGGCATTCAGGAAAACTTGACAGTATCTCACACTAAGAGGAAAACATCTGTCCCAATCAAGTCCTCCAGTCAGGCTGTTTTAGGAAAAGGAAGGACTGGTCCTGCCTCAGTTAAGACAGTTAATAAAGAAAACATCATCCAAACCCCAAGTATCAGTCTTCCAGAACACCGAAGTAGCAACAGAGGCATTTCTCAGAGTAACATGCACCGGGCAGTTAGCAAGGACAGCATTGACTTCAGGGGAAATAAAGAATGTGAGAAGGAGAACCTAAGAGTATCTCGAACACAGAGTAATCATCCTTATTCTGAAGACAAGATCATTTTTCTAGAGAAGGAAAAGAGACGACTAGAACACGAGATATCAGAACTTGTCAAAAATGCAGAGGGAAAAAAGGCTGAAATAGCGACACTAAAGATGGAGAATAAACGACTTAAGGTGAGTGGGGATGCATTAGCTTATTATAATTCCATAAGTGTGTAACATGTAGACAATTATTGTTTGTGTATCAGGTTCTAATGTGCTACTGAGAAGTTGAAATACCTATCTGATTTTTTAAATAAAAGATAAAAATTAGTATCCTGCTGAGTTACTTAAACATATGGTGTATAGTGTTAAGGTTTTTCTTTTTTAAGAGTATTTTTTGTAGGTTATATAAAATGTGCACATAATGTTTTAAGTAAATGTTTCAGGCCAACAAAAATGTTGGAAATTCTCAATACTATGTACTTCTTACATGTACTTTTAAATTTACATTTTATGTATAGATTTTGATTTAGAAATAATCTATGTTTTTTTTTTTCTTTTTTCAGTTTTATTAATTCCGGTATAAGTACCACCACACACTTGTGTAATAGTGGTTACAGTAACTACTTGGATAATCTGTGTTCTGATGTACATTTGTTCATGTGAGGTCATAATCTTTTTACTTGCACATTTAATATTTAGGTATTAACATATTGTACGAAATTATACTGATTATCCTAGATGTGTTATACCAAATATTTGATAAAAACATCTACTTGTGCATGTAAATATTAGGTTAGATTTTTCCTTAAAAGCCTAAAAGTAATAAAGTTTAAAAACCTATAAAATAGTTGGATACTTTAATTAAAAATTCATTAAGTTTATGTACTTACTAAACTCAAGGAACATTAGGAGAAAACTTAAACAATGACCACATACTGAAATACCTTGGAAAGGGAGTCATTATTTGTCACCTAGGTGTTTTATTTGCCCATGAAAAAGAATTATTTAATGCAGCACAGTACTAGCCAGTAAAGCCTAATATGCAGATTCTAAAACATTATAGTTGATCACTATCTGTAGCCAGAAAGATGTGAGTAATCTGAAATTATTCATTAATAAGGAAGAACATGGGGATTATGACACTCAGCATCTTTGCCAAGAGGTGGAAGCACTTCAAACAGAAAATAGATCTTTAAAGGAACGACTTGTGGAGATGGGAGCACCTCTTGATCAAGTGACTTTGTCTGATAGTGAGAAGGAACAACTGCTCTTGAGAAGATCAGTCTCTGGATCACTTGCCAGTCTGGAAGTTGAGTACTTAAAGAAGGAAACCAACACAGTAAGTTACATTTAAACCTCCTTTTAAAAGGTTGATATGTAAAGATAACTTGCATAATAAAAAAGCCTAATGTCTGTGTAGTATGAAACATCCTGATTTTCAAAGATGAACTAATAACGTCTTGTGTGTATTTTGTTGTAATACATCCTTGTAGCACCAAAATAAAAGGAAGCAGCACAAGCGTTGTGCTGCTTCCAAATCCTCAAATTACGACACAGTATTCAACTGAAAAACACGGTCATTCTACATGGAGAGTGTCACCAGAATTCCCAGGCTGTTGGGAAGTAGCACAGGCATTGTGCTGCTTCCAAATCTTCAAATTACGACACAGTATTCAACTGAAAAACATGGTCATTCTATATGGAGAGTGTCACCAGAATTCCCAGGCTGTTAGGAAGTAGCACAAGCATTGTGCTGCTTCCACATCCTCAAATTACGACACAGTATTCAACTGAAAAACACGGTCATTCTACATGGAGAGTGTCACCAGAATTCCCAGGAATAAATTTTGATCCTTTTTTGGTTTAAAATGATTAATTTGTTATTGTCTACATCTTAACAATAAACATTTTTGATATGTGATGCATGTTAATAAAAGTTTTGAATGACATAACCTTGAACGACCTCAATGATATTGTCACAGGGTATGTCCAAATCACCTCATTCCATACCATTAACGATAATGGCCCCGTATCTCTCCAATTCCAAATTATTTGCCTGTCAATGGACTTTTGAATCCCCTGGTATATGAAATAAACAATGCACTGGCCAAATATAACATTCTGATAACCTACTTCATAATGTTTTGGACCTTTTAAAGTTGCAATGACCTGCTTATGTAAAATCCTGATTAGGTTTGGACATCCTTTACTATGGTCATGTTCTGTTGCTCAACTCTATATGCATGGAAGAGGTGCATTAATTCCTACAACTGTTGTCTCTGAGGAATAATTTTGAGTCATTTTTGGTTTAAAATGTTTCATTTATTATTGTTAACACCTTTGTCATTGACATTTTAGGTGTCTGATGCGTATCTAAAATTTCTGAATGGCATGGCCTTGTAGATGACCTTCAGTAACCTCAGTGATACTGACCCATGCTACCTCATTTCACACCACTAACAATTATTTTACTATAGTTCTTAATTTCTGAATTATTTAACTGTCAGTGTACTTCTGAATTACTTTGTATGTTGTAACTAAACAGCATATTTTACACATTGAATTGTGTGTGATACAAACTGTAAACTATGAGAGTGAATAAATGTTACTTTTATTATTAGCTACATGTACATTATTTTTATGTACTTCATTACATGTAAACCAATTACGAATGTCTACAAGTAGAAGTACAATTATCTTTTGGCTGAAATTAACGGAGCTGGTTGGTTCATGTGATGGTATTAGTATATTTGGTTCATGTGATGGTATTGATATTAGTATAGTTGGTTCATATGATGGTATTACTATTAGAATATTTGGTTCATGTGATGGTATTACTGTTAGTATATTTGTTTCATGTGATGGTATTGATATTAGTATAGTTGGTTCATGTGATGGTATTACTATTAGGATATTTGGTTCATGTGATGGTATTACTATTAGTATATTTGGTTCATGTGATGGTATTGATATTAGTATAGTTGGTTCATGTGATGGTGTTACTATTAGGATATTTGGTTCATGTGATGGTATTACTGTTAGTATATTTTGTTCATGTGATGGTATTACTATTAGTATAGTTGATTCAAATGCATAACAAAGCCTTTTACACCTC